TCAGGGGCACAAAACACTAGCACCTACCACAAGCCTCTCCGTCTGTAGAGTAACGGTCTGGACGGGCTTGGACACTCTCCCCTCCCTCCTCTCTTTGCCCTACTGGCGTCCAGGATCAGATCACGAGTCTCAATGAAATCTGCGGCGCTGCGCTCACACCGCCATCCTCGGGTCAACACCCCCCTTGGATACAGGGGTCCCACGACACACACACACAAACACTGGAACACACACACGCGCACACGTGAATCGTGCCAGAGGCACGCCGGCTTGGTCGAGGCGTTGACCTTGCCCCAGATGATTTGCCCGACGCTTTCCCCGACTCTGCTGTCACATCGTGGGTCCACAAGCCCCTGCCCCCCCCGGGCCCCCCCTCCCCCCTCCCCCTCCCCTATGCCGCCCCCGTCATCAACAAGAGACCGGCGCCGTCTGTCCAATTGGCGCCTCATACAACGTGGTGCAAGCTATGGCAAGAACGTGCACACCTGCCACGAACGCGCGCTCTCCTGCCCCACCCAACCACCTTCCGGCATTCCTTCCCGTCTCCTCCGTCCCTCCCCCCACCCCCGCTCCTTCCTTCCACATCCCCCCTTCGGGTCCTTCGCCTATGAGAGACCAGAGCGCGTGCCGGAGCGATTCCCCCCGACCTGTTTTTGCTCACCGTTTCGCCTCCAGTCGCAAAAGGGCCGCACTGTCCGCGGCCGCCGCGGCCAGTTCCCGAGCGAGGGTGCCTACCACATGAGGGTGCCGTTTCCCGACTGTTTGCACGGCTCCAACCACGTCTATGTGATCGTGTCCTAATGCGAGATAGACGACGGCCAACTGCACTACGGCCCGCCTGGCGCGGCGAATCGGGTAGCTTAAACGAATGGCTTGGTGCATCCCCCCAAGAAGTCCGGCGACCTTCACTGCTGCGCTCCCCCCAGACGCCCCGCTCCTATAACGCCATTTGTGGTGCGTCGGGAACCGCAGCGAGCCGGCCTCGACGACGATGTCGGGAAAGCCATCTACCGTGCATTGCGCCTCAACCCTCAGGCCGTCTGCGAGAACTTTCACACCGACAAAAGAATTGTCAGGCTCTGGCTCCAACACGACGGGGTCTACGTAGAAGCCCGGGTCAAGAAGCGACGATGGCACCAGGGTGGCGCCGCCGATTTTCCTCTGGAGGCCCAGGACCACCCTGTTGTCAACATACCTCGCGCCCGTCCAAGTCCACGCAGCGAGGGCGATCGACGCAGCGGCAGAATCCATCCAAGAGCGCTCCCGCATCATGACCGAGACCGTGCACCAGGGCGGGGGCAATGGTGATCCAATGAACGCCCCGCGAATTTGACGCACTACGGCCCCGGCGCACTCGAAGACCGAAGCCTGCGCGGCGTGCTGGAGGACGGGGACGATCACTCTCAGCGGGACGTGCACGCCCGATGCCTCGCGGACCTTCCCGCACACAACTGCTCTCTTTGGCTCCCTCGGGAACGCGGTGAAGACGGCCGACTCTGGAAGCAGACCGGGGCGGCTATCCAGAAAAAGGCGAAGCAGCAACTCCACATCTTCAAGCAATCTTTCTTGGGGGACGGACGGGAAGAAACCCTTCAAGTCTTCTTTCCACATCCTCACCGGCCGCTCGTCACGCGCAGTCGGGCTGCGGCCCGCCCAACTCTGCAATGCGGAATTGTACCTTCTCAGCCGGCCGATGGCGTCGACCGTGGTCGCCGCGTTGAAGGACCTCTCACCCACCACCTCAATGCCGACATCCTTCAATATCCTCCCGATCGCTTGGTGCAAGCGCTTCAACGGATGACCTGTGAAATCGATGATGCACCGGGCAGTGGTGAAGCCTTTCTTACTTTTGGGCATGCACCGGCACGACGCTAGCTTGTCGAAGGTCCTCCCCCGGAACGCCCACGGAACCGCCGACCTGACACCTCGGGGGAGCACGGCGCCCACCTGGCGGGCGGCGCCCCCGGGGGACACCCTTTCAACTCTGAACGCGTCGGGGGCGTTGGAAAACGTGTCGATGAACAGCGACGCATACAGCTTAGGGCAATGCCCCACCAGTCTCGTGCATTGATGGTCTTCGCAGTGCCAGACAAGGTCGCCGTAGGTACGCTTCAACTCCCTAACCCCGTTCTCTGTGATGTGGTGGAGAATCGCGATGGTGCTGTTATGTAAATCCCATTCCTGGTTCGCCCACCAAGACGCCCGTTCCGACAAGCCTTCCACGCCGCCCCACGGAGCCGAACTGATGACATTTTCCTCCCGAAAACTCAAAACTGCCTCAGTGGCGTGCTCTACAAAGCTGCGCCTTCCAGGGAAAATCGTTTCTTTGGAATTCGCACTAGCAACTTCGCGGGCCTTCTTGGACAAGCCAGTGAGGAGATAGCCCCGGACCGCAACGTGCCCGGTGGCGGACCATGCCGCCTCTGGCAAAACGCCTCGGAAACGATCGCACACACAGGCTACAGCCGACGCTCCTTTCCTAGTCAACTTTTTGGTGAGGGGCTTGTAGTTCCAGACCCGCTCTTGGATGCTTGGCCACCTCGCCTCCGAAACGCCTACGCGCGGCAGGTGGAGCGGCATGCCGGCTTCGGGGTGCTCCGCCAGCAGACCCTTGGCACAACTCCGGGCTCTCGAGCCGGAAGCAGGGTGCGCCAGTGCGCCGATCTTCAGAGGCTTCGAAATGCGGGGAATGGCGAGTCCACGGTACTCCATGGCGTCTGCGATGGCCTTCCGGGCAACTCCCCGCCGGGGCTCATCTACAAAGTTGGTCGCCCTAAAAATCATGTACAGTTCTACTTCGGATGTGCTGTGTGACCGCAACCGTCTAGCCACGTCAAAACTTGCCCGGCTGGCCTCCCCTAGAATGTAAATGGTTTTAAATACCTCAGCGTGGGAAGAGCCCAACGCCGTGCCCGGGGGGCGAAAGTGGGCGGACCCAGGGCGCAGCAGCCGGCGCGCGCGCGCCCAAAGTCTCCTCCCCGGCGGGCGGACCACCGAAGACCTAAACTTGCTCGGGAAAACCCGGCCTAAAAACTTATGCACGTGAGGTGCGTTGAGCTCGGGTTGGGATTCCTGCTGCAATAGCATCTCGGATACCGCAGCATCTAGCCTGTTCTGGCAGGCCTGCACGACTACCGGTGCAAATTGGAAAAATGCCCCGGAGCGCTTCCACCACCTAATCGCGGGCTCCACATGGACGAGTCCAGTCTGCCGAAATTTCCGACAGCGGGAAGCCTCTCGGTGAGCCATCCCTTGCGTGAACATCCCGACGTATGCCATGCGATGTTTCGGGGGCAACTTCAAATAGACCCCGCACTCGCAATTAAAATACTTAAACGTGTAAGTGGAGAAAGAAACGCCGAGTCTGTTGCGTCTAACTGCCCAGTTTCGTTGCCAGGTGGCCCGGCTCCTGGCAAACAAGCCTGAGAGAGACGGGCCGCCCCCACGCCCACAAAATCGCCCGCGCCACGCTCCCCGCGCCAGGTTTCCCGGGCGATTGCCGGATCCCCTGGTGCAGAAGAGCGCAAAACTGACACGAACTCCGGTGAAAATGGGCGGTCTTATTGTGCCTACTGGCTCTTCTCACGGCCCCCGAGGTGTCTTTCTCGGCGGCCGCCTCCCGTCGCTCCGCGGAGGTCACCGCGGCGGCGAGCAGCCTCAGCATGTGCTCGTAATCCTTCCTGCTAGAAGCCCCGCTTGCTACTCCTACCGGCACGCCCCACTCGACGATCAGTTCCTCCACTCTTTCATCCAAGGTCTTCTGCTCAATCGAGCTCTTGGCCCAATTTTTGACCATCTCCTGCAGATCCTTCCCGAGCTTGTCCGCTTTCTTTTTCTTCCCCTCGTCCAAATCCGGACCCTGAATTTTGGAATCGATATGTCCTTTCTTGAAGGACGCCACGCTCAGCTTCCGGAGGACTTTCTCTTTCGTTGCCCGGGTGTAGGGCGAGAGCTGCGCATCGAGGTCAATCTCTTCCTCCGCTTCCTCCTCTCCCTCCTCATCGTCGTCGTCGTCCCCCGCCTTCGCCTTCGTTGCCTTGCCCTTCTTCTTTAAGGCGGAGTTTTCCTCCTCCAACTTCCTCATCTTCTCTTTCGTCTCATCCAACTCGCTTCTGGACGCCCCTCCCCCTCCTGGCCCCAAGCCCTGGATCTCCCACAACACCTTGACCACTTTTTGGGCTACGTCTTTGAAGATCTCCCGCTTGTTTTCTTTGTCATCGGGATCCAGCTGCTTGTCTTTGCCTACTTGGGCGCACAGAGCGTCAAGGTTCAACTGCGCCGGAGCCTTCCGGTCCCGAATGGCGAAAAGGATCGACGATACAAGATTGTGCTCGTTCAAAGACCGGCACGCCTCGAAGATCACGAACTTCCCGTTCGCTACAAGCCCGGTGCCAAAATCAGCCTTTCCCCGGAAGAGGTAATCGATGAGTCTCACGTCAAATGGGTCTTTGAAGGCCGTGCCCCTCTCATCGCTCCACTTGGACTTCGCGATCTTCCGGGGGAGCCTCATGCCGTAGTGTTCCCCAACATCGTAAAATTCTTCATCAGATATGAAGCCCTCGTTACCCTTCCCCTTCCGTGGTCGGTCTTCGCTTGCCCAGGGGGTCCCTGGCGTGTTGGGGATCTTGCTGGGGCCCCCCCTCCGGGGGGCGACCGTGTCTTTGCGCCTCGCCGATTTGGAGCGGCTCCCCACCCGCCTCTCCTTCTCCTTGCCCTTCTCTTTCTCAGCGTCTCTGATCTTATCGTCCTTCTCCTTCCCCTTGTCCTTCTCTTTCTTTCTGTCCTTTTCCTTCTCGGTCTCCTGGTCTCTGTGGCTGGGCTGATCTTTCTCTTTGTGCTTATCCTTGTCCTTCTCCCTCATTCTCTCCGTCCCCCACTCCTCCTCCTTGTCCTGGTCCTTGTTTTTCCCTGAGCTTCTTACTGGCAGCCGGACTCTGTCACGATCTTCTCTCCGAGGGGTTCTGCTCCTGGACCTCTTCTTTCGCTTATCCTCGCTGTAGCCGCGCTTACCTGTCTCGCGGCTTCCCTTGCGCTTCTCCTTGGACCTCTCGCGGGCACTGCGGGACCTCCGTGCACCGAACCGCCTACTGTGCCGCTCTTCTGGCTTCCTGCTTCCGACGCTCCGGCCCCGTCCACGGCTGTCTCCTTCCTTTGCCGCGCCCCCTGCCCTCCCTTGGCCACCATGCTGCTCATGAGGAGGACGGCTGGTCCTCGGGCCTCCTGGCCACCCCGCAGCCCAGCCTTTGCCATAGCCCGGTGCGTCGGCACTCCCTTGCCCGCCGGCGCCAGCTGCTCCTCCGCCCGCTCGGTCCTGAGACCATCCCTTCTGCGCTGCTTTGCTCGCCTGGTCTGCATGCTGGTAGAAGCCCGATCCGTGGGCGCCTTTTCCTCCTGGGGGGCCTTTCTGTGCCCCATGGCGACCTTTCGGGGCCCCGGGCCAAGCGAACCCTGGAGGCATGTCTGGGGGTGGCCACGAAAACTGGGCGTACTGCGACGGCCACGCCATCGCGTCGAGTTGAACGCTCGAGCAAGAACGCCAATGGGAACCAAGCCCGAACCCGAAGCTTATCGCCTTCCAAGCCTTGCCCTGTTCCGTCCCGCCCGGCTATCCCCGCGCCTTTCTTCGTCGTGAAAATCCCTGCCCATGCCTCTCCGCTTGGGGAGAGAAAAACCCCCGCCCCTGTCTGCGTCCGCGAAGGCCGAGGGGGGGAGAGAGAGGACAGAGGGGACGGAAGGGAACAGGAGCGCAGGAAGCGGAAGAGGATGGTGGATACCCTGCCCTACACCCTACACCCAAACTCGCCCCTCAACGACGTGCGTCCATACCCAGACGTCGCATTGCAGGGACACCGCGGCGTGGACGCACAGGCCCCCGGACAGGCTCGTAGAGGGTACGGCGGTAAAGATTGCGAGGTCAAAGGTTCAGGAAAAGGTTCGGCCGCCGCTGGCGGTTCTTGGGCATTCGCGGGTCTTGCGAAATGAATGCCCACCCCCTCGCGAGCGAGGGGGCACACACACTTGAAATATTGGTTAAAGATAGGTAAAGGGCTGCCGACGTCTGGGCCGTTGATGGTGGTGGGCAAGTGTTCCGTCGTTCGCATGGGTCTCAGCTCCCCCGTGTCCTTCCCCCATGTTCTTCCCTTCTTGAATTCCCGTACCCCCTTAAATTCCCGCCAGGTCCCCACCAACATTTGCTACGTCGTACGCATGGGTCTCAGCTCCCCCGTGTCCTTCCCCCATGTTCTTCCCTTCTTCCTCCTGCCCTCTTCCGATCGCCCCCCCGGCCCCCACCTCCCTGCCGGCGCACAGCCCAACGCGTGCGCGCGCCATCCCAGACGAGAAGCCGGAGGAGGAGCAAAAGCAACAGCAACGGCAAGTATCAACCTGAAAAAGCCCATTGCCCCACCCCCTGAGATTTTCGCCGTCTTCCGGATGGCCCCGTCTTCTTGAGGGACCTTCGCCTTGAGTGCCCCTGCGTTTAGGTGCCAGCTCCTAGCCTACCCCGGGACACCCGCCGTCTGTACACAGAGGTACGTTTGCACGCCGACGCTTGGCGGTCTTCGTTGGCCAGTGCACCAAGCGTCGACCACTGGCCCCCTCCGACACGAATTAGTCCCTACACCTACTTACCAGCCCCCCAAGACAACCCCGAAGATGTTAAAACGCTTTGCTTTTGCTTCTCCACCTCGGAGACGAACTTGAAGTCCAGGTAAAGATTTGGTAAAGATTTGGTAAAGGTTGTTCTTTTCCTTCTTCATGTCCACGCCGGCGACGAACTTCTTTTGGTAAAGATTCGGTAAAGGCTCTGTAGAGGCTACTGGTAGAGGCTGTGGGTAAAGACAAATGGTAGAGGCTGTGGGTAAAGACAAATGGTAGAGGCGATGGATAAAGGCAAGTTGGTGAAAGATGCAACACGATGCAACACGATGCAATGCAACACACGATGCAATGCAACACACTGGAAGCGAAAGATGCAAAGGAGCTAACCTACTCATGGCTTCGCAGGAGAGAACATGCTATGTTAACGAACTTGTCCCCCTTTCATCCCCTGCTTATCGACAACTACAGTGCTTCCCCCGTCATTTATCCCACATGGTGGGATTGTGCATTCTCTATGCTACACTGCTTCCGGGGGTCACCCCTGCGACTCGATGCAATGCAACCCACTGGAAGCGCAAGATGCACTAGAGCGAATAGGGACAACAAATCCTGCCCCCCTCACACAGATGGCCCGGATCAGGGGCACAAAACACTAGCACCTACCACAAGCCTCTCCGTCTGTAGAGTAACGGTCTGGACGGGCTTGGACACTCTCCCCTCCCTCCTCTCTTTGCCCTACTGGCGTCCAGGATCAGATCACGAGTCTCAATGAAATCTGCGGCGCTGCGCTCACACCGCCATCCTCGGGTCAGCACCCCCCTTGGATACAGGGGTCCCACGACACACACACACACACACACACACACACACACACACACAAAGGCAGGGGAGAGGAGGACGGAGGCGGGCCCCGCCCAGCAGGTCCTTCTCCCGTGCGCGCCACGCGCGAGTCCCACCAGCCCTTTGGGCGTGAGTGGTTTAGCGAGCTTTCTCTGTCCTCAACCCCCCAACCCCCCTTCTTCCCCTTCGGGGAGGGGTTTACCCCTCCCCCTACCCCCTCCCCCTGGGCCTGGAGAGGGAGTCCCGCCGGTGGTCAGGGGGGTCTTGTTCGACGCCTGGGAGGGCCAAAAAACGGCGACCCTCACGAGGATTCTGGCCCCGACGGGGGGGCGCACTTAAGTCCCTCTCCTCTTCTGTGAAGCCAAGATCATTGATTTTACAACGGTTTCGGCCCCATTTTGGCCTTCTGAGGGGGCAGCGCTCCCCTTCCTTCTTTTCAAAAACATTGATTTTACGAAGGTTTTGGGCTCATTTTGTCCTTCTCGGGGGGTAGCGCTCATTTGCGCTTGTGCCGAGGTCGCAAGAGGCCCCCAAGAGGCTCCAAGATGCCCCCAGGAGGCTCCCAAGAGGCCTCCAAGAGGCCCCCAAGAGGCCCCCAAGAGGCCCCCAAGAGGCCCCCAACAGGCCTCCAAGAGGCCCCCAAGAGGCCCAAGAGGCCCCAAGAGGCCCCGAAGAGGCCCCCAAGAGGCCCCCAAGAGGTCCCCAAGAGGCCCAAAGAGGCCCCCAAGAGGCCCCCAAGAGGCCCCACGAGGAGCCCGTACGACTCACACCAGGACGAGGGGCCCGAACGACTCATATCACGAAGAACCCGAACGAATCACGCCAGAAGGAGGACCCCGAACGACTCCTACCAGGACGAGGCGCCCGACCCATTCACACCACGAGGAGGCCGAACGACTCACACTACGACGCGCGCCTCGAACGACTCACACCACGAGGAGCCCGAACGAGTCATACCAGGAGGAGGGGCAGCGCTCATACAAGCCCCCCAAGAGGGCCCCCAGAGGTCCACCATATGGCCCCAAGAGGTCCCCAGATGGCCCACAAGAGATCCCCAGGAGGCACCACGACGCCTCCAGGAGGTTCCACAGATACCCCCAAGAGGTCCCCAAGATGCGCCAAGAGGCGCCGAAGACGCCCGAAGAGGCCTCCGAGCAGCTTCCAAAAGACATCTACTACTACCCTGTCCCCTACGATTACTACTACTTGTACTTCTACTACTACTCATACTCCTTGCACTACATACTGGAAATACCACTACTACTACCACTACTACTACTACTACTACTACTACTACTACTACTACTACTACTACTACTACTACTACTACTACTACTACTACTACTACTACTACCACTACTACTACTACTACTACTACTACTACTACTACTACTACTACTACTACTACTACGTACTACTACTACTACTACTACTACTACTACTACTACTACTACTACTACTACTACTACTACTACTACTACTACTACTACTACTACTACTACTACTACTACTACTACTACTACTACTACTACTACTACTACTACTACTACTACTACTACTACTACTACTACTACTACTACTACTACTACTACTACTACTACTACTACTACTACTACTACTACTACTACTACTACTACTACTACTACTACTACTACTACTACTACTACTACTACTACTACTACTACTACTACTAGACTACTACTACTACTACTACTACTACTAGACCGACTACTACTTACTACTACTACTGCTACACCACTACTAACGATACTACTACTACTACTATACACTACTACTACTACTACTACTACTACTACTACTACTACTACTACTACTACTACTACTACTACTACTACTACTACTACTACTACTACTACTACTACTACTACTACTACGACTACTACTACTACTACTACTCCTACTACTTGACATACTACTACTACTACTACTACTACTACTACTACTACTACTACTACTACTACTACTAACTACTACTACTACTACTACTACTACTACTACTACTACTACTACTACTACTACTACTACTACTACTACTACTACTACTACTACTACTACTACTACTACTACTACTACTACTACTACTACTACTACTACTGCTACTACCACTACCAGAACTACAACTGATCCTACTGGTACTACTTCTACTACTAGGACTAGGAGCCGAAGAGGAGGAAGAGGAGGAGGGAGAGAAGGCGATGGGAGGCAAGACAGAAGGCGGTCGTTCTCCAGTCCTACACGTAACCGACTCTGTCGACTCACACGACGGCGACGTCCTGGACCAGAATGCATGTGGTGTGCGTCGTTGGGGCCCCTCGCCCTGGTGTGAGTCGTTCGGGCTCTTCCTTGTGTGAGTCGTTCGGGCCCCTCGCCGAACGACTCACACATCGAGGAGGGGCCCGAACGACTCTGTCCAGGAGGGGGGACCCGAACTACTCACACCAGGAGGAGGGGCCCGAACGACGCACACCACGAAGAGCCCGAACGACTCACACCTCAAGGAGGAGCCCGAACGACTCATACCAGGACGCGCATTCGACCCATTCACACCACGAGGAGCCCGAACGACTCACACCACGACGCGGGCCTCCAACGACTCACACCAGGACGAGGCGCCCGACCCATTCACACCACGAGGAGCCCGAACGACTCACACCACGTCGCGGGCCTCGAACGACTCACACCACGAGGAGCCCGAACGAGTCACACCAGGAGGAGGGGCAGCGCCCATACAAGCCCCCCAAAAGGGCCCCCAGAGGTGCACCATGTGGCCCCCAGAGGTCCCCAGATGGCCCACAAGAGGTCCCCAGGAGGCACCACGACGCCTCCATGAGGCCCCAAAGATACCCCCAAGAGGTCCCCAAGAGGCCCCCCAGACGCCCCAAGACGCCCCCAAGAAGCCCCCAAGAGGCCCCACGAGGAGCCCGAACGACTCACACCAGGACGAGGGGCCCGAACGACTCACA